CCTTGCAGAGCTGCATCACTTAATTCAAATGATGTATTCATACTCTACAAAAATGAGTCCTTGATCCTCTGGTGTGGAAGAGTAAGTACTACTTAAATGGTTATAAACACCCTTTACTGCATATAAGATAAGTATAGCAAATGAAACCGAAACCAAAACGTCGGAAAAAAACGCCAGATACCAGAGTAAAATTATTACTGCTTATTATTTAGTGAAATATATTTCCGTTCAATTCCGTGCATTTTCTAATTTTTGTATCCGAAAATCTCATGTATTTTGTGATCCAGCTTGCAGGAATTAAGTTCATGTATGTTTAAATGTATTTTACAGGGTAGCAATGCTAGCGAAAACAGAGTCGCAAAACAGATTGCTCGGTCGCTTACATCAAAGTGAGTAGCAAAAAGTAATAATTGTGATGTAATGAAGACGAGCGTATAAGTAAATACTTGTTTTTGCTATTTTTATGTCTTTTTAGGTTAGCCAATTATCTCTTTATTATTGACATATATTTTCATGAAGTAGGATCGACAACATATCAATGTCATTACATTGAAAACGGTAACTAAATTAAATAGTAACTGTCTTCCTATTCTGACTCCAGACCGCCAACAATACTGAACGAAGGCAATGAAAGTGATGTTTTCTGGAAGGCAGTGGGTGGCAGAGAGAGCTACGCAAGCGACAGAAGGTTACAGGTACCTTTATTGAGTCGTCATCTTTCTCTTTATCTATCACTCTCCCCCTCTCTCTCTCTCTCTCTCTCTCTCTCTCTCTCACTCACTTTCTTATTCTGTTCTCACTTCGTCACTTTCTCTCCCCCATCTCCGTAAATAAAAAAGTAAAATTTTATGAGAGCAGATGTGCCTTAATACTTAGGGAGCAGAATTAGATAAAATATTTTAAAAGAGGTAGATTGGAAGTACCTCAATATTTAGTGAAGGAGCACCCGGTCATCACCCCTCCCCCCCCACCTCGGATCCCTCAGTGACGCGGCCAAACAATCCCAGTTCTATTGTCGATTGAAATCTCATCTATAATTTATATTTTTAATTAATTAATTTATTTCCAGGAGGAGGCTCCTCCCAGAGAGCCGCGTCTATTCCAGTGTTCCAACGCCTCAGGGAAGTTCCTGGTGGAGGACATCCCAGATTTTATTCAGGTGAGGCATAATTTACTGCGCCGTATTAAAAATATTTACTTTCAGTTTTTGAAATGATAATGATAATTAAAATCCCCTGGGCATAATAACATGCGTACTGCTTCGTGAATGTAGAATATTATCCCATGGTTAAGTTGCTCCTAGTTGGGTCCCATTATATGTCCCATGGTATAAAGTAGAACAGTGGTGCTGGCGGACCTTGAGGTTGTTTAGGCAAGTAGCCGAATTCAGATAATAACTTTAAAAAAAGCGAATTTAATGATTTTATGACTATCGTTCAGTTGATAAAGTGTATTATTTCTATTTTTTCGACCTACAGCAAGACTTAGTCCCAGATGATGTGATGATTTTGGACACCTTCGATACCATCTTTATTTGGATCGGGGAAGGCGCAAATAAACAGGAAAAAGAACTGGCCATGCAAACAGCTGTGGTACGTGCTATGAAAACCTCGGTTTCTTTCTTCTTTTTTATCTCATTTGTTTATCCACTTATATGTCATCGTCTCCATAAACGTGACTATTTGTTAGTCTTGAATGTCTTGATAAACAATCACACCCTCAGAGTAAATTGAAAAATATTATTTTGTCTCCGGTTTTATAGTCGTTAATCTTAATTAGTTAAAGAAGTTTTAACTGTTGCCCTACAGGTAATCAGTCCTTTTGTTTAATTTGTTAAACAGACATTGTCAGTCGTTCACGAACGGTCCTATCTGAATGAATCTTAATTTCTTTTTTTATCCTTGTACAGGAATATATAAAGACAGACCCCGCGGGTCGCGACCCTGACACGCCGATCGCTATGGTGAAACAAGGCTTTGAGCCTCCGAACTTCACCGGGTTCTTTGGAGTGTGGGATAGACAGTATTGGAGTGTGAGTATGGCAGTGCACGCACCAATACATTACCGCACACACACACACACACACACACACACACACACACTTCACCGGGTTCTTTGGAGTGTGGGACAGACAGTAGTGGAGTGAGAGTAGGGCAAAACACGATCCTATACATTAACACTCTCTAACACACACTCTCTCTCTCTTTCTCTCTCTCACACACACACACACACACCGGTAGGGGTATGGCAAGTCAGCAATGACGTCCATTCATTTGCACTTACGGATTTTCGTTGTTGTTTTTTTTTTTTTTTTTTTTTTGACACTTTTTCTGCCGAGTATGTAGGCTTAAGCATGGAGCTGCGTTGTCATGCAACACATACTTCGTCAGAGCAACGATATTGTTGTTATTCCGTTAAAATCCCAAACAAAAGTTGTGCCTACATTGAAGCTACACACTTCTTCCAATCTTGACAATCAAGTCTATGTATCATAAATAAATCTAAACTTTCCTGTATGTTTGTATCATTTTAGAAAGGAAAGACGTTTGAAGAGATGAAGGAAGAGCTTGGCGAGAGCCATGTAGAAGTAGAGATTGTTGACAAGGTAACGATAATGTTTTGTGTCACGTCAAAATGATTTTGACAAAGACATTTACATACATGTAAATTTGGCGATACTTATTGTAGATTGTATTATTGTCGTATAGTCATGAGAAAAGGGTCATATTTAGTTCAGGACCACATCCTGATAAAATGCTGGGTAGAGGTCCGACCTACAAAATATTTTAGCTATTTTTACCACCTGAGGGGAAACCTAACCGGGTTCAAAGGGATACATAACAACTTACAGAAATTATCTTTTCGGTATATTGGAGCTTGCAATCTTCACTGAAACTCACACTCTCGTTCCCATTTCTAGGCTAAGATTGGAGTAGAAGCCAGTTTCTCAAATGTACAAAAGTATGCCGCTGATATTCTGAGGCGAAAGCCTGATATGGGACTTCCGGCGGATGTTGACCCATTGCACAAAGAGGTAAATATTGACGTCATTTCCGGCGTGATGTCGTTGGAGGTGTCTGTCTTCTCTCTCTCTCTCTCTCTCTCTCTTTTGTCGTGTTTTATTTCCCTGCCATTCAAAATATTTCAGTCATATATGTTTGAACACTTAAGCTTTATTTAAACATTAAAATTATTGATTAAAAATATTATTTCATATTTTTTTATCTTCACTGACCAAGAGGCGAGGAAAGACCCGTTTGACTGTCTTTAATATTCGGTTTCTCATAATGGCTGCACATTTCTCCTCTTTCAATTTGTAGATGCATCTCGTCCCAGAGGAGTTCAAGTTGTTGTTTGGAATGACGTATGAAGAGTTTCAGAAGCTTCCAAAATGGAAACAGTTGGCTTTTAAAAAGAAAACGGATCTTTTCTAAGACATAGATATTCCAGCAAACGAAGACATCACCTTTCTGTTGATTCCAAAATGGATATATCCGACTTACTTTTAACAGTATTGACTAAAGGAATATAAGAAGCATGATATGCTTGTGATATTACTATCTACTTGTCACAAAATGATTGCGATGACTCCGTTAAAATGAATACAGTCATCTCACAAACTTGCTGAACTTATATGAGCAGGCTGCGTTGCGTTTCTTTCAAAGCAGTTGGACATTATTTTATTTACAAAATTTGCCTCAGATTGTAGCGCCGTCTTGGTAGGACTGCTATAAAAGCGGCGTATGTCTTTTTTTAACTTGTACAATACTCAACGGCCAACTTTGCCAATACATACGCCTTACTTGTAGAAAGAAAGGAAATCGACGTGACATTTGAAGGGACAACTTTTACTGTTCTTTTACTAGACTTTCCTCAAGGTATTGATTATATATTTAGTTTAGGTAAAAATAATAGTGAATGGTAATTTCCGAAGAGAAAGATTCAATTATTGATCCATATACTATAAACGTGTTATTAATAATGTGTTCTGACAGGTAGTTTTGCTAAATTTAACCAGAAGTGAATCTCAGATTATCACTGCCTACAGATTTATTGCATCTCAGTGTAATGAGGAGAGAAATTAAAACCTTTTCTGTTTTAGTAATGGAGATGCATGATTTACGTTAGTTGTATTAGATTAGGTATAATGTAGTTATAGATATCATTATTGACAGACTGGCTGCATTTTAAGTGAATGGTGCATTTACACGTTATTAAAAGTATTGTACAAAAGAAAATATTTATATGAATAAAACTACTGCCCTTTTATGTAAAAGGAAATAAAAAAAAGTATAGAAAAAAAAGCTATTCAAGCCCCATCTTTTTTTCGGTAAAAATAATGCTTTTTTATAAACTCTTGCACTTTTTTTGCCTTGTTTTCACTCTAGATTACGCAATGAACTATCTGAACACCATGAAAAAGTGTTATTTTCCTCATTTTTGTTCTTGGAGCTCCACATAATAATCTCCCCAAACAGCCTGCTCAAGATGCAGTTGGGTTGGCGACATAATTACGGTACGTGTTTTATGCTAATCAGTCGCTCATAGTTCTTTATAGAACTGCCTTGTTGTAATGACTGTTTTAATTCTTATTATTTTTTTATTTTTTATCTTTATGGGTGAGACTTTAATAAAATAAAATGAACTGAACTGATCTGAATCAAAAGGAAAAAAAATAGAAGGCCCTCTAAGACATTTAATTAAAGTTATCAAAATCACGCGTGGTTTCTATGTATTAGTTAACAAAGATATAAACATATTAGTGAATAAATAAATTATTAATAATTTTCCTTTGATGCTTTCATGGAGGTAAGGTGACATACTGGTCCCCTTATGTCTATACTTGGACTTTGCAGCTGTATTTCACCTCACATTTAACAACTGACCTACATAATAATCGATCCGACTGGGCTGAATGAATAGCTGAGGAAGGATTTATAACACCTAGGACCTATTAGACACGGGGAAACAACAACAAGGCAATGGGGTTTAAGTTCAAAGTATTCGTGCTGTCACTCTCTGTTGTGGTGGTTGCATATATTTCAACATTACACATGGAAACATTTGACCCCGGTAAGTACTAGTAACACGTTGACTGAACCCAGAGTTTATAGTTTCACATTGTTGATGAACGAGAACAGATTAACTTACCATTCATTCAATTTATTGAATTCTGCAACAGTCTGGGTCACCAAGTGTGGCGTTGGGCGATGTCGTCCATATCACCAGCACCACCATGACCTAGTACATTTTCACACGTTTCGTCCCTAACATGCCAAGTGCCCAGCAAAGGAATTATAAGTGCTATTTTAAACTGAGTGCAACAGCAGATACGGGTTACATGAACTAGTAGCAAAGTGCAACGGGAACAAAAATACCCAGCACGTCCCTCATCCCCATGTGGACTGGAGCAAGCTCTAAAGTAAAAAGAGAAGTCAACATCTAGTCATCTAGCTGCAGAATAACTATATGCGGGTTGCTACAGCAAGTGCTTTAAGCTAGAAAGTCATGTTACGAGTTTACAGGTCACTGATAAAGTATTTCATACTTGTACATTTACATTACGTGCGCTGAATGCAATGTCACAGTCTATTACGATAAGGTGATTCACCCGGCAGTCACCTCGATGTCCTTCATAACCTGTTAGCCACGTGAACCCAAAACGTTAAAGGCGTACAGTGCGTACCGTGGGCCATGGCCAAGAGATTTTTACTTGATGTATAAAGATGTTTCTCTTTCTACTAGCTGTGCAGATTCTAATCGTCATAGATCTGCATGTAGATCTTCATTTCTATATTGTCAAATAAATATATTAATTAATTGATAAATTAATTAAGGGGTACAATTCTGCGTAACTATTATTATCTTTTTTTTTTCTAATGATACATGTAGACAGGTGAATGGTTTTTTAATATTCTCTTCTTGCTTTTCTTCCGAATTACATTTTATTGTTAGTATCTATGTATATAGTGGAGAAGAGGAGAGTGCTTGCGATGAGTGGCTATTTTCATTATGGTTGAAGCTTGTTCAATTTTTACCAAATCACAAGATGCTTTTAACTTTTAAAATGAAATAAGAGGATTAAAAAAAAGTAAAAATCTTTAGATGTTTCTAACTCTAATTTTTAATTTTAACTATATTTTAATACACTATGTTTTATTTTATTTCTTTTTTTTTTTTTTTTTACATCTCAAACTTCAGGATTTTGTTATTATCATTATTTTTATTTTCGTACCACTTTTAAGAGCACCGTCAGTATTCAAATTTCAGATAAATTTATGTATATATTGTAAATATAAATATACTTTAGCTGAATGAATTATTATTATTATTATTATTATTATTATGCAGTTGAGGTGTTAGGCAAGAATGTCCTGATCACCGGAGCCTCTTCTGGAATAGGAGAACAGATGGCGTATCATTTCGCCAAGATGGGAGCAAACCTTGTCTTGACTGCTCGAAGAGAACATCTGTTGAAAAAGGTCACTGTTTGGCAGTTCTACCGCTTGTGTGAAGTCACATTATTAGCAATATCATAAATAACAACAGTGGATGTTTTGAAGCCAGAATTGTATATCTTGTATTAAAATTAGATAGTATTCACTTTAATCCTGTGGAAATATGTTATTTTTACTGCTCTTAATCCTTCATTATAAGAATGCATAAGACGCCACAATAAAAGAAGAAGTTGTCTTATTGTTACAGGTTAGGTCAGAATGCAAAAACCTATCCCCGAACTCTGCACAGAAACATGCATACATCGCCGCTGATATGGCTGACATGACGGAGACAGAGCGAGTTGTGCAAGTAACTTGTTATTTCTATTTTGTTCCCACGCTCAATAGTGTTTGTAATAGAATTTATTCATTCATTTTTTGTTTGATTGTTTGTTTGTTTCTTTATTATGAATCCGTCCATTCATCTGCTCATCTACAGTTCTACTACTCGTTCGTCCTCAAATCCGTCCAGCTGTTTAGTCTGACATTCATTCTTTTTACTCAGTTCAAAGCACAGAATACGTATGAGACTTCAATTTATATGATAAAAATTCATTGATACCCATATCCATTATAAAAGTACCTAAACATTAGAAACTTGCAGCTACATCTTTGCGATGAAAGGAAAATGTCGTAATTTCCAAAAACATTCATTTTGTTCTATAGAAAAATCCCGTGTCTTTGAATGCCTGTGCGTTTCCATTTCATTTTTTCTTTCAGTTCGCAAAAGAAAGCCTTGGCGGCTTGGACATAGTGATGTTGAATCACGCCTTATTACCTTTTGGAGAACCGTGGATGGGCAGCAAAGAGAACTTCACCAAACTGGCCATAGCCATGGACGTTAACTTCCGGTCATACGTCCACTTAGCGTCCCATGCTCTATCCTTGCTGACACCGAGTAGTGGACGGATAGCCGTTGTTACGTCACTAGTAGGTCGGTACATGTGGGTATGGTTAATTCAAGAGGTGGGGGAGGGGCGGGGGGGGGGGGTAAACAAAACATAAACAGCGTTTTTACAGCAATGTGTAAATCTCTGGGATGGTAAATACCATAGGTTTTTTCACTGGGTTTGTCTTAAATAGATAAATAAATAAATTGACTAATTACAGGTCATTTTGCGTACCCCTATACCACATGGTACACCGCAGCCAAACGGGCTCTCCAAGGCTTCTTTGGAGTGTTGAGGCAGGAACTGAAGTTACAGAACTCCAATGTTACCATCACAATGTGTGTTGTGGGACCCACAAGTGAGTCAAAACAATTTATTTTTATCAGTTTATTTATAAAAATACATTATTTTCATTTACTTATTTATTTTGAAGATATACCAGGAAAGGGAAAGGACTAATATTTAATAACATGACTCATTTTTAGAGTAATTATAAATTGTTTGTAAGTTAAACAGTTTCATGAAAAAGCATAGTTGTTGTGTTTTCGTTTTCTTCAGGAACAGAAAACGCAGTGGAGTCCATGAAAGCTATGATAGGAGAAACCTTTGTGAAAACCGGGCATATTGCAGACGCAGGGGACGTTGCCATGGAGATAATACAAGGAACAGTTTCAAGACATTACCAAGTCCACACTGACATGGATCTGAAAACTAGAATTTTCTTCTTTATTCAGTTCCTATTTCCAAAACTTGCTGACGATTCAATGCTGTTAGCTTTAACATGATTCACGCGGGTATATATATGTACTAGAATAAATTAACTAATTACATTTTTAAATTTAACAATACGCTTCCTGAGAATGGACAAACAGCAATCAGTTGATTGATTTCAGGAGGGGTCTGTTACTAAAGGGCGTCTAATTACCCGAATTTTCACGTTATATCGGACAATGTTCAATGTATTACTAGACCCGTTTCTTCACTTGGACCCAGTGTTTTATACCATTTTGCATTAAATAATTTAGTTATAAATTCTCCCTACCACTTCTTCTCGTGCACTTCAGAAAGATGTATAAACAACAGGCACTTATCTGTGGGTTTTGATCGTTTTATATATATATGGGATATAGTCAACAGAAAATACATATAAATACTAAAATAAACCTATGGTCCCTCTTTAAATTAGAATTTTGACTAGCTGAATCATAGTTCTAAACCGTACCAAATAGCACCGTTCGCCATCTAAAACACCGAATTTTGGGGCCCTTCAGCGGGCGCCGAACCCCACAGTAAGGGGGGGAGGTTGGCTTTGCATCCGCCGACCCCTCCCTCCTTCAAATAATCCTGGATCCGATCCTGATTTATAATAAACAAAATTAATCAAAAGAAAACCACGAAACACTGACACGTTCAATTTCACTTCTCAATAAAACTATGTGCACACACAGATACATATTTAATTACATAACCTTTATATATATATATATATATATATATATATATATATATATATATATATATATATATATATATATATATATAGCTGACCTGTAAAGGACTTTGGAGAACAGCTTAATTAATTGCGGTGTCTGCCATCTCGTGTAGCGTTCAGACCGTTAGTCTCTGTTAAATGAGACTAGTGTAACTTATCGGAAGGCCACTGGTGTACCTGAGAAGTAATTAGCGCTTTATTAAGTTCGTATAGGTTATTGGTAAAGTGACGTACGTGGGTCAATGTCTAGTACTGAGCTTGTACATAAAAATCAAGGGTAACCCCACCCTGAAATACAGCTTTCTTTCTCACATATGACAACGATACTTACAGATTCAGTGCGTTATAGCAGAGTGTTTGGGTTGTGTCAGTTATGTAACATGCGAAGTCTACAATATGTACAGTAACTGACAGAAAGAGTGACCTACTTTTACACTCAATCGTGTTCAGGGTTATATATAGATGTCAAATCCACATTAAGTAGCCATGGTTAGTGCATACAATGCTTAGATACCCGAGACGCTGGAGGTATATATTCCAACATGGGGCTGAAGTTTACCTTAATGACGCTGGCCCTCTCTGCAGTGATTGTTGCGTACATTGCGATGCAGTGCGTTGACGATTTTGACCCCGGTGAGTGTAGGCTCTTTTACATTAAGTGAACAAGTGAGGGAGAGCCTCCGATTAGGCCTATCGTGATATAGATTATTATGTGACCCAGAGTGTCCATAGAGAAGCTTTCTCTCTCTCCCTCTCTCTCTCTCTCTCCCTCTCTGTCTCTCTCTCCCTCTCTCTGTCTCTCTCTCTCCCTCTCTCTCTCTCTCTCTCTAAATGGCATACGGTGTAAGGTGTCTTTAATTTTCCAGCTGATGTGAAAGGTAAAAACGTCCTGATAACAGGAGCGTCGACTGGAATAGGAGAACAGATGGCGTATCATTTCGCCAAGATGGGAGCAAACCTTGTTTTGATTGCTCGAAGAGAACATCTGTTGAAGAAGGTCAGACACATACTGTACACGCAAACATTATTATTACCATTATTATTATTATTATTATTTAAATATAATCAAATGAAAACTAATACGTGTAATTACAATTAAAAGCCGATTTTCTAAAGACACGATGATTTTTAAGGTGATCATGCAGTAAACTGAATGGTTTTTGCATATTAAAGATATAAAAAATGTTTTGCTATTAATTGATCTTAAGTAAAAATGGGACGGCTTACGGTTGTATTTCTCTTGTGAAGGTCGTATCAGGATGCAAGAAGTTGTCACCAAACTCCGATGCGAAACACGTGTACCTCGTCTCTGACATGGGAGACATGGACAATACGGAGAAGGTTATACAGGTAAATACTGCCTTTACCAACAATATGGGAGATAAGATTGAAAATAAATCCTATAAATATTTTATGGGATAATCGATTTGGTAATAATTATACGTATTTAAAGACGCCACCGACGTTTCTTCATTCATACAATATTTTATGACATGAAATGCCAGAAAGTAATTGAAGAAAGTTAATATATGTGTAATTTTCTTCTACTTTTGAATTTCCAAAATCTTAACCTCGTCCAAGAAATTTTGTCATGGACACTATCAACGAATGCATAACGGATTTATCACGTCACTGACTTTTAACTTTAAAAACAAACATTTGAATCTTTATCGAACGTATATTACGTGCATGTTACCCCAGTGATACATGGATTACGTAGATGTTGCCAAGATGACGAAATACAATCACAGCTTGCTACCTAGTACTAGTAATGATCAAACCTCCTTCCAGTAATTTAAACCAGGGCCAATTATATTGCATAAATGTACGCTGTTAAGATAAAAAAAGTGGGTGATGTATAGATGCTTCTTTCTTTCTTTCATTTGTTACCAAAACAAGGTCAGAGAGAGAGAGAGAGAGAGAGAGAGAGAGAGAGAGAGGAGGAAGAAGAGAAGAAGAGAGAGAGACNATAGGATCCTATAGGAAATCTTATAGGAAATCCTATAGGAAATTTTCGTAAGGGTTTTTACCAAATCACAAGATGCTTTTAACTTTTAAAATGAAATAAGAGGATTAAAAAAAGTCAAAATCTTTAGATGTTTCTAACTCTTAATTTTAATTTTAACTATATTTTAATACACTATGTTTTATTTATTTTATTTTTTTTATTTTTACATCTCAAACTTCAGGATTTTGTTATTTTCATTATTTTTTTATTTTCGTACCACTTTTAAGAGCAGCGTCAGTATTCAAATTTCTGATATATATGTATATACTGCCTAAGTATAAATATACTTTAGCTGAATGAATTATTATTATTATTATTAGGCCCTATTATTATTATTATTATTATTATGCAGTTGAGCTGTTTGGCAAGAATGTCCTGATCACCGGAGCCTCTTCTGGAATTGGAGAACAGATGGCGTATCATTTTGCCAAGATGGGAGCAAACCTTGTCTTGACTGCTCGAAGAGGACATCTGTTGAAAAAGGTAACCGTTCGGCAGCTGTACCGTTTGTGTGATGTGTATCGAAAAAAAATAACAGCTGATGTATTGAAGCCAGAATTGTGTATATTTTGTTAAATTTATATAGCATTCATTTTAACCCGATGGAACTCGTATGTTATTTTCACTGTTCTAAATCCTTCATTATAATGATGAATGCATAAGACAGCTCAAAGAAAAAAATGAAGTTGTCTTATTGTTACAGGTTGTGTCAGAATGCAATAATCTGTCCCCGAACTCTGCACAGAAACATGCCTACATCGCCGCTGATATGGCCGACATGACAGAGACGGAGAGAGTTGTACAAGTAACGGTTGTTGTTTCTATTTCGTTCCCACGCTCAATAGTGTTTGTAATAGAGATAATTTATTTATTCATTGTTCTTTGTTTGTTTGTTTCTTTATTATTTATCCGTCCATTCTTCCGCTTATCTATAGTTCAGTTCTACCACTCGTTCGTCCTCAAATCCGACCAGCTGTTTAGTCGGACATTCGTTCCTTTTACTCAGTTCCAGGCACAGAATACGTATATGACCTTAATTTAAATGATAGAACTTAATTTTCCCTATACTTTTAAATTTTGTTATTAAAACACTGAGAATTTTTTATACAAATAAGTTAACTATTAATCCGTTTTTGAGATCTTTGTTTCAAAACGTTCTGCCATGATCAAAATTCATTGATACCCATATCCATTATAAAAGTACCTAAACATTAGAAACTTGCAGCTACAAAAAAAACGGATATTGGATACGGCATATCTTAGCGATGAAAGGAAAATGTCGTAATTTCCAAAAACATTCATTTTGTTCTATAGAAAAATCCCGTGTCTTTGAATGCCTGTGCGTTTCCAGTTCATTTTTTCTTTCAGTTCGCAAAAGAAAGCCTTGGCGGCTTGGACATAGTGATGTTGAATCACGCCTTATTGCCTTTTGGAGAACCGTGGATGAGCAGCAAAGAGAACTTCACCAAACTGGCCACAGCCATGGACGTTAACTTCCGGTCATACGTCCACTTAGCGTCCCATGTTCTACCCTTGCTGACCCCGAGTAGTGGACGGATAGCCGTGGTTACGTCACTAGTAGGTCGGTACATGTGGGTATGGTTAATTCAAGAGGTGGGGGAGGGGCGGGGTGGGGGGTAAACAAAACATAAACAGCGTTTTTACAGCAATTTGTCAATCTCTGGGTTGGTAAATACCATAGGTTTTTTTCACTGGGTTTGTCTTAGATAAATAGATAAATAAATAAATAAATTGACTAATTACAGGTTATTTTGCGTACCCCTATACCACATGGTACACCGCAGCCAAACGCGCTCTCCAAGGCTTCTTTGGAGTGTTGAGGCAGGAACTGAAGTTACAGAACTCCAATGTTACCATCACAATGTGTGTTGTGGGACCCACAAGTGAGTCAAAACAATTTATTTTTATCAGTGTATTTATAAAAATACATTATTTTCATTTACTTATTTATTTTGAAGATATACCAGGAAAGGGAAAGGACTAATATTTAATAACGTGACTCATTTTTAGAGTAATTATAAACTGTTTGTAAGTTAAACATTTTCATGAAAAAGCATAGTTGTGTTTTCGTTTTCTTCAGGAACAGAAAACGCAGTGGAGTCCATGAAAGCTATGATAGGAGAAACCTTTGTGAAAACCGGGCATATTGCAGACGCAGGGGACGTTGCCATGGAGATAATACAAGGAACAGTTTCAAGGCAATACCAAGTCCATACTGACATGGATCTGAAAACTAGAATTTTCTTCTTTATTCAGTTCCTATTTCCAAAACTTGCTGACGATTCAATGCTGTTAGCTTTAACATGATTCACTGGTATATATATGTACTAGAATAAATTCACTAATTACATTTTTAAATTTAACAATACGCTTCCTGAGAATGGACAAACAGCAATCAGTTGATTGATTTCAGGAGGGGTCTGTTACTAAAGGGCGTCTAATTACCCGAATTTTCACGTTATATCGGACAATGTTCAATGTATTACTAGACCCGTTTCTTCACTTGGACCCAGTGTTTTATACCATTTTCCATTAAATAATTTAGTTTTAAATTATCCCCACCACTTCTTCTCGTGCACATCAGAAAGATGTATAAACAACAGGCACTTATCTGTGGGTTTTGATCGTTTTAAATGGGATATAGTCAACAAAAAATACATATAAATACTAAAATAAACCAATGGTCCCCTCTTTAAATTAGAATTTTGACTAGCTAAATCATAGTTCTAAACCGTACCAAATAGCACCGTTCGCCCTCTAAAACACCAAATTTTGGGGCCCTTCAGCGGGCGCCGAACCCCACAGTAAGGGGGGGGGGGGGGTTGGCTTTGCATCCGCCGACCCCTCCCCCATTCAAATAATCCTGGATCCGACCCTGATTTATAATAAACAAAATTAATCATAAGAAAACCACGAAACACTGACACACCTATACTGATCAGCCCAAAATATACATAGGCAAAACATCATCATTGGACATGTCTGGTTATGTTAATTTACGACAGAAAAGCAACCCGGCGATCTGAGTTCAATTTCACTTCTCAATAAAACTATGCGCACACACACATTCATATATAATTACATTACCTTTATGTGAAGCGATATATATATGTTTTTTCCTACCTGTAAAGGACTTTGGAGACCAGCTTGCTTAATTAATGGGGCCGATTATTTATTGCGATGTCCGCCATCTCGTGTAGCGTTCAGACCGTTGGTCTCTGTTGGATGAGACTAGTGTAACTTATCGGAAGGCCACTATTGTGTAACAGAGAGACAATTAACGCTTTATTCAGTTCGTATAGGGTAGTGGTCAAATGACGTAAGTGAGTCAATGTCTAGGACTGAGCTTGTCCGTAAAAGTGACGGGTAACCCCACCCTGAATTACAGCTTTCCTTCTCATATATGACACCGATACTTACAGATTCAGTGCGTTATAGCAGAGTGTTCTGGTTGTGTCAGTTATGTAACATGCGAAGTCTACAATATGTACAGTAACTGACAGAAAGAGTGACCTACTTTTACACTCAATCGTGTTCAGGGTTATATATAGATGATAAATACACATTAAGTAGCCATGGTTAGTGCATACAATGTTTAGATACCCGATACGCTGGAGGTATATATACCAACATGGGGCTGAAGTTTACCCTAATGACGCTGGCCTTCTCTGCAGTGATTATTGCGTACTACATTGCGATGCAGGACGTCGACGATTTTGACCCCGGTGAGTGGAGTCTCTTTTACATTAAGTGAACAATTGCAAGTGAGGGAGAGTCTCCGATTATCGTGATATAGATTATTATGTGACCCAGAGTGTCCATAGAGAAGCTTTCTCTCTCTCCCTCTCTCTGTCTCTCCCTCTCTCTCTCTCCCTCTCTCTGTCTCTCTGTCTCTCTCCCTCTCTCTCTCTCTCTCTCTAAATGGCATTAAGTGTAAGGTGTCTTTAAATTTCCAGCTGATGTGAAAGGTAAAAATGTCCTAATAACAGGAGCGTCAACTGGAATAGGAGAACAGATGGCGTATCATTTCGCCAAGATGGGAGCAAACCTTGTCTTGACTGCTCGAAGAGAACATCTGTTGAAGAAGGTCAGACACATACATGCAAACATCATCATTATTATTATTATTATTATTATTATTATTATTATTATTATTATAAATATTGATATATAATCAAATGAAAACTAATATGTGTAATTACAATTAAAGCCGATTTTCTAAAGACATGATGATTTTTAAGGTGATCATGCAGTAAACTGAATGGTTTTTACATATCAAAGATATTTAAACATGTTTTTCTATTAACTGATCTTAAGTAAAAATGTGACGGCTTACGGTTGTATTTCTCTTTTAAGGTCGTGTTAGGATGCAAGAAGTTGTCACCAAACTCCAATGCGAAATACGCGTACCTCGTCTCTGACATGGGAAACATGGGCAATACGGAGAAGGTTATACAGGTAAATACTTCATTTACCAACAATATGGGAGATATGATTGGAAATAAATCTTATAACTATTTTATGGGATGATCGATTTGGTAATAAATGTACGCATTTAAAGATGCCACGGACGTCTCTTTTTTAATACAATTTTATGACATGAAATGCCAGAGAGTAATTGAAGAAAGTTAATATATGTGTAATTTTCTTCTACTTTTGAATTTCCAAAATCTTAACCTCGTCCAAGAAATTTTGTCATGGACACTATATCAACGAATGCATAACGGATTTATCACGTCACTGACTTTTAACTTTAAAAACAAACATTTGAATCTTTATCGAACGTATATTACGTGCATGTTACCCCAGTGATACATGGATTATGTAGATGTTGCCAAGATGACGAAATACAATCACAGCTTGCTACCTAGTACTAGTAATGATCAAACCTCCTTCCAGTAATTTAAACCAGGGCCAATTATATTGCATAAATGTACGCTGTTAAGATAAAAAAAGTGGGTGATGTATAGATGCTTCTTTCTTTCTTTCATTTGTTACCAAAACAAGGTCAGAGAGAGAGAGAGAGAGAGAGAGGAGGAGAGGGTGGGGAGAAAGAGAGAAAGAGAGAGAGACGTACAAACACTTTCCCAAACATTAGTGCTTCATTTATTACATTAGTGCTTCATTTATTAGTTAATATCAATGTTCACCATTTTTTAGTTCACAGAACAATCACTGGGAGGTTTGGACATACTGATGTTGAACCATGCTTTGCTTGCTAAAAGAGAGGCGTGGCTTGGAACCAGAGAGAACCTCACAAAACTGGCCACGACGATGGACGTTAACTTCCGGTCATATGTCCATTTGGCGTCCCACGCCTTACCTTTGCTGACCAACAGTAGTGGGCGTATTGGCGTTGTCTCATCCATGGCGGGTCAGTATGTACATCCCTTAAGTACAGTATGAGTTTCATTATTATTTTTTTTTTTACCCCCAGTAGACATAGTTGGACGAGAATAACAGGCACGTCCCTTTTCCAATTAAATTATTGGTCTTTGTTGACATTGCCTTTTCTAAAACATTGTTTGTTACCGGTATCTCATGTTTTATTATTATTTTTATCTTTTTGTGTTGTGTGTGCGCCTATTACTCCCATGGCACATGTACTGTTATCCTATACTTTACGCATCAAAAGAGTTTGTTTTCTAAGTGCAGTATTTATCTTTTGTGAAAGTTAAATGCAAATATTTTTATTGGTTTTTATTATCTACATGTATATATGTACACTAATGGTCATTCTAATGATACAGCGCTTTATGATTATAGGTCATGTTGCCTTTCCGTATATGTCGTGGTACACAACGGCAAAATACGCTCTCCAGGGCTTCTTTGGAGTGCTGAGACAAGAACTAAAATTAAAACACTCAAATATCTCCGTAACACTGAGCATTGTTGGATTAGCAAGTAAGTTACACTAGAAAACATTTTACTCTAAATGAAGCAGATAAACCGTTCAATTCTAATATTTTATTATTATGCAACATCTATAGCAATTTATGGTTTTTGTTGCATCTCAGAGCACCAAAGTCTGCTTGCAAGATGTTCTAGAAAAATGACATACAGTATAAAATGTGAAATGTTAGGCATATGAAAAGTTCAAAATATAGCGTAATTACAGCTAGATTTATTTTATTTAATTTTAAATAAAATCATCGTGAGAGCTTACTGAATTAAATAACATCACGTCTTCAAATGAAAACACCAATTTGTAAATCAGTTATTAAACCTATTTTGCAAAAAAAAAAAAAAAAAAAAAAAAAAAAATTATTACCAACTATTTCTTATTTAATTCCCTACGCTGATTTTATCTTGTTACATTTTCAGAAGATTACATGACATGCGCATTTTTTTCATGCAAGTTTATTTAACTTTTCGTTGCAATACCAGTTTTTGTATAAAGATATTAATTATTTATTTAACCAATCAATTAATTACAGGAACAGACAACGCAGTGGAGGGACTCAATTCCCTTTTAGGCGCAAAAGCTTCCTCTGCACACATGTTCGACCCACGTGATGTTGCCATGGAGATTATTCAAGCAACAGTGACAAGGCAGTATGAAATATACACCGGCGTCCCCGTTTCTTCCAGAATTTACATCTTCATTCGGACGTTATTTCCAAAACTTGCTGATGATTTGATGCGAAAAAACTTTACTTAGCAGCATTATTGAACATAAGCGACCAATATGTATCAGTGAACCCCTTTGTCTTTTTATTTATTTATTTATTTATTTATTTATTTATTTATTTATTTATTTATTTGTTTGTTTGTTTGTTTTTTTGTTTGTTTGTTTGTTTTGTTATTTTCCCACCCTTTGCCTTATAAAGTTAAAGAGACAACAACTGTTCGTTTTGGCCAAAAATGCAGTCTCCAGGAATGTAATCTTTTCGTCACAAATAAAAGTAGAGCCTTTCTAATATTTAAAACATCAGTCGGATGACACCTTGTGCAAATACGTGATAAATTATGCTCAGGGTCTTTCAAAATGTACGCTTTAGATACTCTCAGCTGTCATCTCTCAGCTTTCACGTTTTCTTTAAGATATATTATTAATGATACAAAGAAAGAAAATGTTTCATCCCTCGTGTATGTAGACCGTACTAGTATGGACATCTTTCATACCGTTTTCCGTCTTCTTTGGAAGCTGTAAAAAAGATCCCCACCTGGAGCAGCCATTCACTCACGGCACTGTGTGAACTGATTGTGCCCGTCTGCAAAGCCGATGCCGGTCCGGTTAAATGCAGGGTCAGGGGGACCCTGTATATTATACGTGTGACATAATACACTGTCACCCGAGCGATATATGCCATAACATCTCGAGCGTCGGCGAGAGGTGTTCATGGCATCTATCGCGAGAGGGAGACAGTGTATTATTTGACATACATACCAAGATAAAATACAGTCATTCCATCCTAAAACACCCCTAAAACCGAATAAAGTGATCCAATATCACGCTCTAGAGATGTTATATGAAATACACTCGTCCACGTGCGCTGGTCACCTCCCGCCAAATTCTTACGTAATGTCTGACCAATTTGGTCAATTTTTTGCTCAATACTTGTCTTGGACGTTCAACTGGCGTGAAAAACTTTTAATCAATCGTCAACACTGACCATGCGCGTCTCAGCTGAGCCACGCCTAGCATGGCCTGCTGCAGAAAAAAAGGTCCCAATGCAAAACCTCTACTTTTAAGTGACAATTCTGATAAACAAGGAGCGTCGGACCGGAATATAGTCAAAATATTTTTTCACAAGTGCTAAGGAGAAAGAAATTTACTTTTTGGAGATATTTCTGACAACGAGGCGGTTACGGAATATAGTCAAAATCAAACGGACGTTTATTTCAAATCCACAGGAGTAATAATTCTACGTTTTGGTGACATTTTTTTTACTACGAGGCGGTTTCGGAACATACATGTGCTGGTTTTCAGAGCATGAAGCATGCTACATATAATTACAAGTTCAAAGGGGGGAAATATTTGATTTTTACCGATATATCTGATAAAGAGGAAGAATGAACAGCTTAAAAACAAAAGGTAAATAACACAACTCTCGTTAAAAATTTATAGATTTACAAATTATTTGTATGCACGTGCGGCTTAGATGTAAACTAATTCCCGTTTTCAAACCATACCCATATGATAATACTTAGTGATATAAAATTATAGATACTAATTGTTAAACGTGAAATGTTTATGCCAATTTTTTAAGAGTGTGAGAGATTTTAAATTTGTCTAGTGGTAGATATATAACGCAATCAACGTCACTATTCTCTTGATGCCAAGAAGGTCAATCTAGCTTTCTCTGACTTCCAGCATTTAAGAAACCTCGACTGATTTAACCAAGATGTAGTCGTGAAATTCTAGACTATGTCGAGGTTAATTTCGAGTTTTCCGAGAGACGCAACGCAGAAATATCGAGTGAAGCGAGATATTTTTGGGTAGCGGCTCGAGGTTGCCCTCGATCTTCACTGTCCAAAGCTTGTCTAAATGGACGGGCTTCAGAGATCCTCATATCGCCACGGTCACATTACATCGCTAGCTATGTATCATGATACAGAGTCCGGGACCCGTTATTTCAGAAACCCGTTATTTCTGAAATAACGGATCCCGGACTTTCTGTCATGGGGGACCTTCTGGTACATGACAGTGAACCAGTCCCTGTAATCAGGCCTACCCAACTACCAGACTCGGCACCTAAGGATCCTGAATTAACCGGTATATCGGACCACGCTACCCGTTTTCAAGGTGTGTGTCAGATCGCATTTCGGAGTATCAGCCAGAACACCGACAGGATGAGCCCTGGCATGCTCAGCTGTCACCTTGATTGGATAGTAAACGATTGTCGTAAAATCGCTATATGATTTTAAAACCAGGTGCATACATTTGAAAGCCACCTAGATGAACCTTAGACTGCCACATTAATCTAATACAATGCAAAAAAGCCCTATCAAAAGTGGTTAAAACATTCAAACCGAATGTCGTAAAGTCCCCTTATAGCCCCATAGAGACAATAAAATGGAGTACTCTAAAGTAAGAATATAGTTAAAGGTTGTTCAGCCGAGCGTGGATGAGCCCGCAGTCGTGCTACAAAATTTGTTCTGGAGTATGATACTCCGAAATGCGATCTGACACACACCTTGAAAACGGGTAGCGTGGTCCGATATATCTGTTAATTCAGGATCCTTAGGTGCCGAGTCTGGTAGTTGGGTAGGCCTGTGTAATACAGATTTCTTTCTCAAACATGACAAAGGGACTAACAGATTCTGTGCTTTCTAGCCGAGTGTTTTTGTTACTTATTGTTGTGTGTGTTATGTGACAAAGCAACATGCGAGGTCTATAGTAACTGACAGAAAGAGTGACCTACTTTTACACTTAACCGTGTTCAGGGTTATATAAAAAAGTCAAATCCATATGAAGTGGCCATGCTCTAAGCATACAGTGTTTAGATACCCTAAGACGCTGGAGGCACGTTAACCAAGTTCCAAGATGGGGCTGAAGTTGACTTTAATGACGCTGGCCTTATCTGCAGTGGTTGTTGCGTACATTGCGATGCAGTACGTTGACGATTTTGACCCCGGTAAGTGTAGTCTCTTTTACATTAAGTGAGCAATTGAGGGAAAGCCTCCGATTATCGTGATGTCGTCTTTTTATGTGACACAGTGTCCCTCTAGAAGCTCTCTCTCTTTTTCTCTGTCTCTCTCTCTCTCTCTCTCTCTCTCTCATTACACGTTGTTTAGTTTGCCGTTCTAATTAATAAACCCATTCTTCCTTTTGCAATGGCATCAGGTGCAAAATTTCTTCATGTTTTTTTTCCAGCTGATGTGAAAGGTAAAAATGTCCTAATAACAGGGGCGTCAACTGGAATAGGAGAACAGATGGCGTATCATTTTGCCAAGATGGGAGCAAACCTTGTCTTGATTGCTCGAAGAGAACATCTGTTGAAGAAGGTCAGAGGCACCACCAATAATAATAGCAATAATAATGATTATTGTTATTATCAGCATTATTATTATTATTATTAATAAAATACAAAAGTCGACTTTTTAAAGACATGAGGATTCATAAGGTGATTATACATTAAACCAAATGGTTTATGCATATTAAAGACAGTAAAAAAATACCTGCCTTAAAAATGATATTTAGGTAAAAAGGTACCGTTTACGGTTGTATTTCTCTTGTGAAGGTCGTATCAGGATGCAAGACGTTGTCCCCAAACTCCGAGGCGAAACACGTGTACCTCGTCTCTGACATGGGAAACATGGACAATACGGAGAAAGTTATACAGGTAAATACTTCCTTTACCAACAATTTGGAAGATATAATTGATAGTAAATCGCATGGAATTTATTGTGGAATCATCGATTTAATTATAGTTATATGTATCTATATGTGTTTGTTCAAACATCCATTCATTGATTCATTTATCTACTCATTTATTCATTCATAAATTACGTCTCCATTTATCCACAGATTCAAACATAAATGTGTAAGCTCAGTAGGTAATACGAGACACTCCTGTCCGTTTTATCTTCCATAATGGAGCGTATTTTTATGATTAAGTTTGTTTTAAAGCTTAGCTATAGTGATCCCGTATTATGCATCCATATGACTGTACGACACAGTTTTACGGCAAGAAATTCGGCTAAACAGTTGAAGAAAGTCCCTTAACACGAATATACGAATTTCCCAAGTTTAATCCTCCTTCAAGAGATTTTGTCAGGGACATTTACATATAATACCGAAATTGCTTAAGGAATTGATCACGTCAGTATTACTTAAAAACAAACATGAATTCTTTACCGAGCAGTGGCAGATTTGGGGGTTCAGCGGGGTCGTGACCCCCATCCTGTCGACTTCTGAAAAAAAAAAACAAACCAAAAACAAGGTCAAAGAGAGATAGAGAGAGAGAGAGAGAGAGAGAGAGACCTACACACCCTCATCCAAACACCCATGCTTCATTTACCAGTTAACATCAGGGGGGCCGTGACCCCCTGTCCTTTCGACTTCTGAAAAAAAAAACACACACCAAAAACAAGGTCAAATAGAGAGAGAGAGAGAGAGAGAGAGAGAGCCCTACACACCCTCATCTAAACACCCATGCTTCATTTATCAGTTAAAATCACCATTTACCGTATTCTTCAGTTCGCAGAACAAACACTGGGAGGTTTGGACATACTGATGTTGAACCACGTTTTGTNAGAGAGAGAGAGAGAGAGAGAGAGAGAGAGAGAGAGCCCTACACACCCTCATCTAAACACCCATGCTTCATTTATCAGTTAACATCACCATTTACCGTATTCTTCAGTTCGCAGAACAAACACTGGGAGGTTTGGACATACTGATGTTGAACCACGTTTTGTCTGCGAAAAGAGAGGAGTGGCTTGGGACCAGAGAGAACCTCACCAAACTGGCCACGACGATGGACGTTAACTTCCGGTCATATGTCCATTTGGCGTCCCACGCCTTACCTTTGCTGACCAAGAGTAGTGGGCGTATTGGAGTTGTCTCATCTCTGGCGGGTCAGTATGTAGATACCTTAAGTACAGTATAACTTTCGTTATTATTATTATTATTATTATTATTATTATTATTATTATCCCCCATAAGCAGATTAGGGCCAGAATAACAGACTACCCTTCCAAATTGAAATATTTGTCTCTGTTTTCAATGCCCTGCCTACAACACTGCTTATGACCAATATCTCATGTTTATTATTAACTTCTGTTATGTGTATCGATCGCCTGTTGTATATGGCACAAGTACTGTTATCTTTTACATTGCGTAGCAAAAGAGTTTGATTTCGAAATGTTTTTTTCCCTGGCGAAGGTCGAATAAATATATTTCGTTGAAAATAAGTATCTAGATGTGCACCTTTTTGTTATTATTTCTTTAAATAAACGTACAAAGATGCAACAGTGCCTTCATCTGTGAAAGATTACCACTCACGCTCACTTTTATGATACAGGGTTTTATGTTTATAGGTTATATTGCCACTCCGTATATATCATGGTACACAACGGCGAAATACGCTCTCCAAGGCTTCTTTGGAGTTTTGAGACAGGAACTGAAATTAAAACACTCAAATATCTCCATCACACTTAGCACTGTGGGATTAACAAGTAAGTTACACGAGGAAACATTTTACTCCAATTTAAACTGATCAACCGATCAATTCTAAAATTACCAATATACAGGCGAGGACAAAATTATTAGCCTCACCTAGGAAAAAGCAACAGAATTGGGCTTGGGTCGTCACCTTTGTCTTCCAACATGACAACGACCCAAAATATACTTCTATACTGGTGACGACCTACCTCCAGAGGGCCAAAGTGAATGTCATGGACTGGCCTGCCCAAAGCCCGGACTTGAATCCGGTAGAAAAATTGTGGGATGAACTGACTCCATGCCCGAAGACCATCAAACCTGATGGAACTAGAAAGATTTGCCAAAGAAGAATGGGCTAAAATTCCTCAGGAGGTGTGTCACAAGCTTGTCCAAAACTACCACAAGCGACTACAGGCTGTTATCAACTAGAAAATATACACGATTGACTATTAAAATCGGGGGGGGGGGGATTATTTTGACCTAGGTGAATTTTTAGTTTTGCTAAACAATTACATTTCTGTGTCTGAAATAAAAAAATGTAAGCCTCCAAAATAAAGCAAGAATGTTTTAAAATATTGTTTTAAAATTTATTTGTTCTGTAACAAGCGCTTGAAAATTAGTTGAAAAGGAATATAATTTTCCCAGGTGGTGCTAATGATTTTGTCCTCAACTGTACCGATTTTATAGTTATTGTTGCATCTTAAAACACCAAATACTGCTTGCAGAATGTATTACAACACTAGAATACAAAATGTGAAATGGCAGGAATATGAAAATTACAAAATATAGCTTATTTACAGCTAATTTTATTTTATTTATTTTTACAAATGAAATTATTGTGAGAGTTGACTTGGGTAAACCACACGTATTATTCTTCAAATGAAAGCAGTTTTATAAATCAGTAATATCCTTCTGGCATTTAAATCCCAAATCAGTTATTTAGTTTAATTTTGAAAATGAATTATTTTTTATTAGCCACTATTTATTATTAAATTCCCTGTACTGTTTTTATCTTCTATCACTTTCAGAAAATTAGGTGAAATATGTTTTTTTTTTCGTGCGGGTTTACCTTTTTGTTGTAATAGCAGTTCTTGGTATTAAGTGATTAACTATTTGTTTAACCAATCAATTAATTACAGGAACAGACAACGCGGTGGAGGCACTCAATTCCCTTTTAGGCGCAAAAGCTTCCTCTGCCCACATGTTCGACCCACGTGATGTTGCCATGGAGATTATTCAAGCAACAGTGACAAGGCAGTATCAAATATACACAGGTGTCCCCGTTTCTTCCAGAATTTACATCTTCATTCGGACGTTATTTCCAAAACTTGCTGATGATTTGATGCGAAAAAACTTTACTTAGTGCCATAATCGAATATAAGAAGCCAAGAAGTTTCAGTGAAATCCTTTTGTCTTTATTTATTTATTTATTTATTTATTTATTTATTTATTTTTTTCTCCTAACCACCTTGCAAGTTACTTTTTAAGGTTAAAATAACCAAAACTATTCGTTTTGGTCAATAATGGCTTTTATTACATTTCTATGAATTGCTTACAATGTATCATAATCATTTGTGGAATATATCTAATACGAACAGTTGTTATCTCTTTACATAAGACCAAATATGTAAAAGTCACGGTGATTAAAAAATATTGAGTTATTGCTATTAACCTTATGGAATACTTTCAAAGTAAAAAAAAAAAATGAAGGAAGGTATAAGATCATTTCTCACAGTGACATCATTTGTTTGACAGATTTGAGATTAACAGATTTGAGATTTAAATGCCAGAACTCTTTACAGCCTTGCATAAGATTTGTTTACAAAACCTGTTTAGCGTATTTTCCACAATTAGTTTGTTTTAAATTGTTCTTTATAGAAATACTTCTCTCTCAACTGAAAGTGTTGTCATTGTACATGTAAAAGGAAACAGAGGTCATTATCTATTTGAAGCTCACGCACATGGCTGATTGTTTGCTCCCAATGGCTTTATAGTGTCTTGGTACATGTACATGTACATGTATAACAGGGTGTCGGAGTGTGGAGTTAGTTACTGTCTGGTCAGTGTTATTAATTGACAGGGACTTCCTCAGTTAACTGCTCGCTTATGTCCAGGGTAAATGGACTTCACCCTAACCCTTTCCACTTCATCGAGATCTTCAATCAATCGTTGTCCTCACTTTTTGTTCAAATTTTCTTTGATTGTAAGTTAACACTTAATCAACCCTCATGTGAAATAGTTTGCCCGAATCAAAGTATTAAAAATATTGCATTCTTGTTAGGTTTCGGATGGAGTCAAAAGGCAAGAAGGAGTGTTTTAAAAGTATTTTATTTCTCCACGTTATAGGTTTCTCTCAAGTGCAATTTATACAGAGCAGTAAACATATTGGATAAGAACATAATACACACAGGTACAAAACAGGCTTCATTGATAAAATTAAGATAAATATCTCGTACACATTCATATACAATCTAGGAACGGCCAGATTGTTCCTTAAAAGATAAAACAAATTAACTAACTTATATCTTTTCTCAAATTCTCCATTTCTTCATCAACATTTTAAAACTTGAAGTAGATAAACTCTTAAAACGAAGTTTAAATTATAATCAATCAATGAGGACAAACAACTGTGCAGTGTACATATAAACCACTTTGCAGTGTACATATATAATATAATGACAATATAAAACGAACAAGAAGCTAATAAAGCACAAATATGAATTAAGCGAATAGTATGGTTAACTGAGAACCATTAAACATTACTATATTAAGTTATTTGTTCAGTATCATGATATGACAGACAAATATGCACCTATGCATCACGTCTGTTTGAGACTGACCACACGTGGTTATTTAAGATATGATGTTTGCGAAAACTTTTTAGATTTGCTTTTTTGTTGGTCGCATGTTACATGATACATTATTTCAGTTATCATGTGGTAACGTTGATCATGCACGATGCGGTCTCCAGAAATGTAATATTCTCGTCACAATTAAAAGTAGTGTCTTTCCAGTATTTATACATTCACTGATGACACCTTGTACAAACCAAATGAATTATGCTCAGGGTCTTTCACAATGTAATTTTCATGTGAAAATTTAGCTGTTACGCTCTCATTTTTCTTAAGATATATTATTTTTGATACAAACATAGAAAATGACACATCCCTCTTGCATTCACTGGTAGACAGTTTCTCTTGAAAGGGTTCTATCGGATTGTTTTCCGCCTTTTTTAGGATGTTGCAAGAAAGTTCCTCAATATCAGCAATCTCCGGAACTTTTAAATGTAGCTGACAGTACACGACACAGTAGCCTTCCTGCTTCACCTTTAAGCTTTTGTCGTCGTCGACATATTCCACGTCTCCCCCGATATCATTCTGACCGACTTTCCAAGAAAGAACTAAAACATAAAAATAACAACACTTTACCTGGCTATTGCATTGGTTTGTATTAATGCACACGTATTGATTAGGCTCAGGTCAATTCTTGGTTGGGTAACATCTTCAACTGAAATGATAATGATTTGCATTTTTTTTTCATCTAGGATAAATGACACAGGACGATTTACTGTTCACGGAATCCTTTCAGTTCATATAATTCAGTATTCCATAGTGTTTTGCCCTTGACTATTGTACTTACTTCCCTCGCCATACAATACATACTTTTTATATAGGTGAGTGTGTCTTTTAGTACTAGATAACTGTAGCACCTTTTGCTGTGATAACTCTGTCAAGGTATCTAAAGAGGGGAGTTCACGTTTCCTGGTTTATTGGCTTTCATTGTGAATATTATTAATGTGTGTATTCCTAAACGGGCTATAAATGCCAAAGTTATAAGTACAGAACTACCAACACCGAGAACGAAGGCTAGGGAAAACATCATCCCTTTTGGCAACACTTATTATCCAAGAGTATAGAACATTTTACCATATGACGAAAACCATCATTGTTATTCTAATGGCCAGTTACAAATGTAAACAAACAGTGAGAGAAATGGCAATAATAAATATCAGGAGATAATCCCAAAATCTAAAAACAATTCGCGACAACGGCAAATTTTGATTTTAACACACAGACAACGTTGACAGTTAATTGTTATATGTTGAAACCCTCGTTGTGGTATGTTAAAGAAAAACAACCATAATTACCTAGAACAAATGACGTGGATACTTTCAA